GTTACTGGGAGGGTGTGTGCGGGGAGACGCGTTCCCCTTCTCCCGGGGTTCCCGCGGTTTCTCCTGCCCCGGGGCCGCGGCCCGGCGCTCGGTGGGCTGAGGGTGGGGGTGTTTTCCCAGCCGACACCTGACTTGCGCTCCCTCTGCTTCCGCAGAAACTGCTCCCTTCCTTCGCAGCCTCTCTCGAGGACATCTTTACCCACTGGGAAAAGTAAGTTGGAGGAGGAACGGGCTATCGAATAGATTCCAGACTGTGCTGACGACCGGGCTGCATGGCACGTGTGTTCTTTACTTGCTGGAATTTCCCGTTGTCGCAGTGTTTCCGATGATAACTGTGCTCAGCAGGCTTTGCTCCCAGCCTCTGGTTTCAGACCGATCCGTTTCAGATGCTGAAGATAGCTTTTGTTTAAAAATTCCCTGAGATTGGAGAGAAGTTGTTACTCTAGTTCTGAGAAGCTGATGCTGTTCTTGCCTGTTGGGGTTAATACTGGAGTATTGTGGGGGGCTCTGAGTCATGCTTTACTGGCAAAAATCTTTTCCTCCGTTGTATTTCACTTTCTTATTTAAAGCCACGTGGTTTGCGGGAGTGTTGACCCAAGAGCAGAGCATCTGAGCGGATGCTGAAGTGCCAAGGCTCTTACAGGGATTTAAACCCTGGCGCAGATCACGTGTCTTCTGACACAGAGGAAGTCTCTTGGTTTCAGCCTGTCTGTTTAAGCCCTGACATGTTCAGCCCAGTGCCTTCCCGCGCAGTTACTCCACTGAGTACCACACGTGAAGGTCTGCAGCGTGGAGCCTTCCCAGCGTGTGGGGTGCGGTGAGGTTTGCACCCACCCTGCGCACCCCTCGCTTTGGTTTGGTGCTGGGGTGTGGCGCTGCAGAGAGGCCTGCTGGCAGTCACGGTGCTGGGTTATCGGGGAATCGGTGGAGTTGGGCTTCTGTGCCCACACTGAGGAGCGCTGGAGTGAAAGTGCTCTTCAGCGTGGCTGTGCCAGCAGCCTTGGGAAGTGGGCGTTTGCTGCAAAGGTGTCTTCTGCTAGAACACCCCGTGCCTTGGCGCTGCCCCGGCGCTTGCTCTTGTGTCTCCATCATTTTCTTGCTTAAGCAGGAGAAAGACTGGATATAGGTGAGGCTGTAGCAGTGTCGGAACAGGCTTGCAGTTCCTCCCTCTAACAACTTACTGCTCTCTTGGGTATTGATGGTGACCTTTCTCTGTACTAAGTTATCCTGGGTGCTACAGCAAACCCTTCCAGACACGGTCACTTTTAAAGCTTGGGGGGCAACAGGGCACTCGCATCGTGTTTTAATTCCTTTTTCTCACCTGTATGTTGTGATTCCACCCCACAAGTACGCCTTTTATTCCCGGTCCCTGTGAGTTGTGCCTGGTTTGGAGTCACAGTCGAGGTTGTAGTGACCAGTGGTTTTATTTATCCAGAAAATGCCCTGCCTCACTGGAGTGCTCTCCTGTGGGTGAGCTGTGATTCTCATGTCTTGTCACTCCATGGCCTGAAAATGCCTTTCTTCCGACTGCCCTGTGGCTCTTTCCCATCTAACCGAGGCCATCCTTGGTGCTCTCCTTCAGAAACTCTTTCAAAGTGAACTTAGCAGTTGAGATTTCCAGTTACTTAGGAGTGGCCTCCCTCCAGGGCTGCGTTTGGTCTCGGAGGAGGCTGGGAGGGGGCTGAAGCAGGCCTGGGTGCGGGGGGAGGGGCCCACGGGCACCACTGCTTCCCCCACGCAGTGTCCCCGAGCGCCCGGTCGCTCGCGACCAATTCTCACAGCAGTCCCCGTCGTGCTGTCAGCTGCCGCTGAATCAGGAAGGCGTTGGAGTGTTGTAGCTGCCTGTGTAGCTTTATTTTATTAAAGGGATTATTACAGTAGTTCACGGCACTTTGTAATAGCAAATGTGCCCTTCAGCCTAGCCTTCTTGCGAAAAACTTGCTGTTACAGCTATGCTGCTGAAACACTCTTAATAAGCACAATCTTTACTGGCCAAATCGTTAAACTAACCTTATTTTTAAATTAGATGAACATATGAAATAAGCGAAACTGGCACAAAAGTGAGGGTTCTTCTCGCCTCTGATGACTGTGGGTGTTTCGGGGCTTTTACCAACTTAGAAGTACTGCGTGTGTGAATCACACACAGACATGTGCCCAGCCAGTGGTATCCTCATAGTAAAGCCGGTGCATTTCCTATGTTTCATCTGAAAATTAATGATAACTTTAGCCACATCTATTCTGATGATGCAGGTAGGATTCAGAGCCTGGAAATGTCTTTTTCCAGCTTAATGTTCTGATCCAGTTGAACAGCTTAAGTGCTTAATGCTCATCTGTGGCCTCTTCCTCCCCTTCTTTCAACATATCTTCTGTAGGTCCAGCCACTTCCTTTCTCAAATCTGTCTGCAACCTGACTTTTCTGCCCTTTTGGCCTGTGAGCCCAAGTTCAAATGGATTTTCAGCCTTTAGATTCACTTCTCACGGCCTCATGGAATACTGAGACCTGTTTGGGGATCACTGCCTGGGACTGCATTTGGTGACTGCCTGGCTATAGCTGCCTCCTGAAGAGGGAATTTGTTCTGTAGGATGCCTTTGCTCTGTGGTGAGCACTAGCCTGACCAAATACATAGAATCATAAAGGTTGGAAAAGACCTCTCAGATCATCAAGTCCGACCGTCACCCCAACACCACCGTGCCCACTAAACCATGTCCCGAAGTGCCACATCTACACATTTTTTGAACACCTCCAGGGATGGGGACTCCAGCACTTCCTTGGGCAGCCTGTTCCCATGCCTGACCACTCTTTCAGTAAAGAAATTTTTCCTAATATCCAATCCGAACCTCCCCTGACACAGCTTGAGGCCATTGCCTCTCGTCCTATCACTAGTTACTTGGGAGAAGAGACCAGCACC